ATACCGAGAGCATATTCGTGTGAACCGGTTTAATCTTCAATAAATGTTTTGCTAAATTTTGTCAGCTCCTCGATTAGAATATATGGGCTGCATAACATGCGTGTTATATACGACTCAATTTTATGTTTTTTTTTTTAAATCATAAGCTTGAATACTACTTTTACCGTAGTGACATTAAATCCTTCAATTCCGTAATTCCTACTCTTAATTTCCACATGAATATCTTCTCATAATTTCTCTTGATAATTCCTATCGCTACATGATAATCCCTCCAAAATTAGTATTATTAACATATCAATATCTATTAATTAAATCAGGCTTGGAACATGTTGAAAAGATATTTTTACGTATAATCCTAACCTTTCCTAATCTTAATGCAAAAATTAATCTTTAATATCTTCAGCAAATTAGAACTTTAAATTGTTAACTTGGATAAGATAATAAATATGTACTATAGAGATCAATAGTATTTACTGCATTTCCAAGATAAAGAATATCTATTATATAATGAAAGAAGGAAAAAAAACTAGAAAAGAAACTAGTTACATAATTATATAACAAAAAAATGAGACTAGCAATATAATCACATAATAAATGAAAAAAAATTAGAAGAAAAAAACTAGTTATATGATCATATAATAAAGAATAAGATTATTAACACAATAAATAAAAGAAGAAAACTAGAAGAGAGAAAACTAATTATATGATTACATAACAAAAGAATGAGACTAGCAACATGATTATATAATAAATAAAGAAAAAACTAGTTATAAATAAAAAAATTAGCAATACAATTATATAATTAAAAGGAGAAGAAAACTAATTACATGATCATATACAAAAAATAAAACTAGTAATATGATCACATAATAAATGAAGGAAGGAAACTAGAAAAAAATATTTATATAATTATATAATAAAGAAGAAAGAAAAGAAAATTAATTATATAATCATATAACAAAAGAATGAGATTAACATTATATTATAAAAAATTAATAATGCAAATAATGCAATAATAATGATTATAATATAATAATAATATAATAATAAAAATAAAGTGATAGTAATATCATAATTAACTTATTATTGAAAAATTATAACATAAAATACAAATAAAATTGTAATATAGAATAAAATAAAATTATAATATAGAATAAAATAAAATTATTAGATAAAATAAAATAAAAATTCACATATTAATAAAAAATAATCTAATAATGTACTTAAAGATGCAACAAATATTTTTGTTACATCTATATTATCACCATTCTCAACTAATCAATATCTATTCTACATCCTTTTTATAAGCTTATCCACTTCTAATCTTCATGCTTTTGCCTCTCTTTTTACTGAAATCTAATCAGATTTGAATATTTTGATTATCTTGTGATATTTATATATTTCAAAATCAGTCTTTGTGAATATCTACTGGAATCCTTCCCAAATATTGATTATTAAAAGTTTTTCAGGACCAAAAAAGTATTGTTAAAGAAGATATCAGCAAGAAAGTATATAGTGATAAAAAAATTTGCACTCACATTTTGATAATATTAGATTTAGTAATAGCTATTCTTTTACAATCTTTATACTTATTACTAAGATCTCATTCATGATCAACTTCTAGATCAGATATAAAAATTTATAGACTTTTTCAAGAATTTTGTCATCAAGATCAGTTATGAAAATACGCTTATTCTAACAAGCCAAAAAGAAAAAAATAATAATGATAATATAGTAATAATGATAAATAGTGAAAGAAAAAAGTACAGTAATAATATTTTAAGTACATATTTATTAAATCATACTTCTTTACTATAATTTATTTAAGTTTACTATAAAATAATTCTAGCAGATTTGTAAATGTGACTTGCAATAGCAGAGGTAAATTCTGATATGTTCAGAATATTCATTTCTCTATATTTTTAAAATAATTAAAATTAATATAATAAATAATATTCAGAATAAAACAAGTAGTAATCACATTTTTAATTATCTTCTCACAACTGATTCTCATTCTTTTATACATAATCAATACCAATTGATTATATGTCATTAGATAATAAATCTTTTTTAACCAAGTACATATTACATATATTATGCATATGATTACATCACAGTTTTGCTCACCATACACAATATCTAGAAAAGCAGTTATAATACTATTTATTTCAATACTACTTTAATCACAAAGGAAATATTAATGATATCAACATGATACAAATTCATGAATTACTTTCAATACTTTAGACATATTGTTATCATTCTCTATATTAACAAAAAAATATATGTTAACATCTTAACAGTTGTAGTTATCATGGATATATAGTATGAAAAGATGTCAAAGATGTCTATTAGCATTAATCAATCAAAATATCACAATTTATCTATTTGTTCAGTATTTGTAAAGCAAAAATCTCGAGTTGATTACTGCATATCATTTTTTGTATATGTATTTAAAGATAATATAGTAACTATTGTAACATAGTGACAAATAAAACATTACCTAGTTATAATTAGTTATGGCTTATAAAATTTTGGAATTGTAATGTATTGCAATAGATGACAAATAAGTGTCACATACTTGCTGCACTATCTCTATGTGTATCTGTGTGTGTCTTTGTATATGTGTTTATGTATGTCTCTGTATGTGTGTATCTGTATATGTCTATATATATCTATATCTCTGTATGTGTATGTACGTGCATAAAATATTTGACTTGATATTTTTTGTTTGTTAGAAATTTGAGCACATTTTTAAGATCATTTTCCAGGTTACACTCACTGAAAAGATGAGCAGTTAGTAATTTGTATAACTTATATTAAAGATTCGTGATCTCAATTCAATGTAGATTTTGAGTGAAAGCATTGAGATGCTTTTTTCAGCAAGCTTTTTAACTATATTAATAATTGATGATGATGTATATAATTTATTTATCTTATCACTTATTAATTGTCTAATTATCTCAGGATATTTCATCTTCATTGGATGAGTGTAATTAGAAGTGTATTTATAATATTTAATTTGAATTATTCCAGTTACAATAAAGCTCATCACTTTAATTTTGGTATCACACTGATCAATAGCATGTTTGCTCATTATTTATCATTTTTTGATAGAAATGCCTTCCTTCTATTTGCTTGATTTGTAGTGTTTGATGAATTGACACGTATAAATGATCTAGAAATCATTATTCTCACACTCCCAGTGACTATATCATATTCATACATTTAAGATGAATGGTCGATCTTTATAGAACTCATTTTGCAGAACTTTGAATTGATTACCAACATTAAAAAGATGTGCATATTTTTGGTTGATTATCTTCATTTTGATAAAGCAATTATTTTTAGTACAGAACAAAAATAAAAAATGAAAGGAAAGACAGCTCTTCAATAAAAAAATGAAAGGAAAGATGGCTCTCCAATAAAAAAAATTGTTCAAAATTCTAATTTACTCTCTATAATGTTCTTATAATGTGTAACTAACTGTAGCATATAATTATGTAATTGTTTCTTACAATAATGCAGAATTATTTGTTATAATAGCACAGAATTATTTCTTATAGTGACACTTAATTAGTAATCATTCATAGTGTATATAGTTCTTAATTAAATATGTAGCATGGAATAATAGTTCTTTAGTGTATATAGTGCAGTCTTGTAGTGAAAAATTAACGAAACTTCACCCCTCTAACAAATTTTAAATTTTTTATTTTTTTACCATTACATTTGTTATCGAGATGTTATTTTTTTGTGGTATTAAGGAATCTTAATCCGAATTATAATGCAATCCGAATTGATCAATTCGGATTGCATTATAATTCACTACCTGGCTTTAACAGTCCCCAAATTTAGAATATTTTATTCTGAATGAACCTTATTTTTTTTCTCGTATCACAAATATCTCCATCGTAATGATAATAATTATCTAGAGGATAATTATCTGGACAATTGAAAGACTTCGAACGATTATTGTTTAATGGCTTTTAGAAAGTTTTAAGAGAAACAATCAATGTAAAATGCTAACCTTAGAAGTAGTGTAGAATTAGCGTAATAATTCGAAACTGTACAAAAAGAAGTCTTTAGAAAGGCATGCTTTAATCCAATAAAATAACAAAGTTCTTGTAGTATTAATATTACTTGTGAATACACTATTATTTTGATTAAACTTTAGTGGATGCTCCTCCATTGAAAATAAGCCGTTATTTTGATTTGCTATCTTGGTTTTTACCTTTACAGGCTTGTCAATAAGTTCAATAAGTTTTGTTGAATTGATTTTGTTAGTTTGGACAGGTCGTATCAATAAGTCATAAATAATTTTAGCAATTTTATAATTTGTAATTTGATTTTAATTTAATAATTCAATTTTAATTTAATAATTTGGTTTTAATTTGGTAATTTGATTTTAATTTAATAATTTGGTTTTAATTTAGTAATTTGATTCTGTTGAATTAATTTGTTTTCCTTGAACAGGCTGCATCAATAAGTCCTGTTAGATTACTTTTATTTTGTTTCTTTGGACAAGCCGTTTCAATAAGTCCTGTCACGTCCGTGAATACATAGATCATTGTTGAATAAACAAAGACTTTAATTCTTGTTACAAGAGTGATTTTATTCTATTTCCTTTTTTTTTAAACACCCCCCTATCGTTGAGAAAAAGTCGATTTGCGTACAAGTCGCCACGGAAAACCTTTAAAACACCCAAAAAAAACCCTTTGATCGTAAATAATTTAGTCTAGCTCTCATCCCCGTTGTGGAAACCCATCTTTAGTGGATCATTATAGTAAGATGCAACACTGCGTATTTAAAACTGTATTAAGATCCGCGCACGAAGGACCTTATTTCATTAAAAATACGTATATCTGAAAATCAAATTGATTTAAAATTTTATTAGTAATATATATTGATGTGGTAATCCTGAAAATGGAATCGAAAACTCCCATAAGAAAAAAATGTTTAATATACAAAGATTAGATATAAATAAAATTTTTCTATAACTATTAAAAATCCCTAGAATCAAAAGTGTCATTTGTTTTAGTGACTTCCATTGGTATAGGCTCAATTGACCTTTTCTCTCCATCATCCAACGAAATATGTGATGATGAATCATCACGCGGTCGTGATGCACTTTCAGGTTCGAATCTAAGTTTACAACCTAACGAGTATAAAAATAACCAGAAAATTGCACTAACCCCTACTACAGCAAAACTGACGTAATAAGCAATATTATAATCAAACTGGTCATAAGGTGTTTTTGATGAATATTGTTTGAAAGATGCAAATATGATAAATAGTGCGAATAATATGAATATTATGGGTATTATTGTAAACACTCTGAAAGGACGCGGTAGATTGGGTTTAGTGTAGCGCAGAAACTAAAAAAATTTAATTAGGATGTTTAAATTATTGAAAATTGAAAGTTTCGTCCAGACTGATTAATCTAAAAGAACCAATTAATCTAAAAGAACTCACCAACAATCCTAAAGCACTCAGAAATAGAAATATCCAGACACAATGCTGACTCAACTTCGTAAAGAATTGATATGGATCATTGTGTTGATAAAAGATAATAATCAATGAACACCAAACAGCTTGTGCTATCTGAAATAGTTAACGTTAGTTGTTTATTAAGAGATCAAAGAAAATAAATGGCTGAAATATTTGTTTACCAATGCAAAAACCGGAGTATCTGTCTTGTTATTCCATTTTTGGAACCATGATGAGAAAGGAAAGTAATTTCTTTTGGCAGCGGCTACAATTACTCGTGATCCAGCCCATGTATTTGCGGCCAATGTTCCAAAAGCGGATAGACAGATGAAAAATGATACCGCACTAGCAAAAGCAGAGTTACCGACTTGTAAAGCGAATCGAACAGCAATAATTTCGTATGGTTCGCTTTTACCCGTTATTTCTTTCAATGGTACATTCGTGTATGCGATATTAGCACAGAGGTCTAGTATATACAAATTCATACATTAATTCAAGAAAATATCAACAACACATTTCAATCGTATAGTAAATAATACTTACACAAAAAAGTAACAACAACGACACTAATACTATTTGACCTAACTAATTTTTCCTTTGGATTAACGAATTCATCCAAAGTATCTATAACAAAAGATTTTAATGAAATATTCAAATTTACTGAAGCACATAATATATAAAATTTTATCACTCACAATTTAAATTATTCCAGCCATTATATGCAAATAAAATTAAAATAAGTGCAGAAGTTAAACCGCGTGGTTCAATTTGCACACTAGGAAACATATTTTTCCAATTCGTGTCTTTGTCGTTAATAGACTGATGAATTGTTGCCAGTCCAGCAATCGTTAGCACAAGCAGCGTCAAAATCTTTATGATTGTGAGAGTTTGATTTATAAAATTTGCCCATTTGTTGGATAAAATATGGTAAATTGTGATTATTAATACTGCAGCTAACGAACAAATTCGTAACCGCCTAATGACAAATTACTAGATTTAGAATAGCTTAAGAGTGTGAATTCCACATAACAATTATTATCTCTTACCAAAAGTTCGGGGAAGTAATACTTGTCGGATGCAGATAATCAGAACTTTCTATTGGGTTAATCAAATATAAGAAATATTGCGCGAAAATATTTGAGATGGCGCATATTGAAGCTGGACGTATTGCCACAATCATAGAAAAACTAAACATATAGCTAAAAAGCGCTCGTGGGCGAGGAAATGCTCGTTTCAAATACACAGTTTCTCCGCCTCCTTCTGGTATAGAACTTCCCAGCTATCATGTATTAAAAAATCGAGATGATAAATTAGATTGAAATAAAATAATTGTAAACATAAATATACAAATAACTACCTCGACGTAAGAAAGTGATCCAAATAAAGCGGCAATTCCACCCACTAGCCATAAAATTAATGCTATCCCAGGAGACTTGATTTCACTTAAAACTAGACCGGGACTTGAGAATATTCCAACACCAATCATGTTATTGCAGTTATTCCCGATACCAGCTAAAGTTCCTATAAGTCTGGTTCTTCCCGGTGATGTGTCGGCGACGCTTGACGAATCATCTGTATTATTGTTATTGTTATTGTTATCATTATTCATTGCTTAATTATGTTAATGTTTTGACAATTTTAAGTTTAAATTCATGAATCTGTAAAGCTGTTAAATATACATGTTTTTTTATTTTATATCAGACACCAAAAAGCAGTTGTGTTACATTGAATGGTTGCATTATTGTTATCGTTATACATGTATATGTTCATGTACGTACCCCCAAAAAGTAACGCCCCGGTCCAAAAATTATATAACGATAATAAAACACAAAAAATGGAAATTTTCAAGCTATGTACGTATATACATTTTATATCGTTTTAAAGCTAATTGATTGTATTTTAAAAAATAATACGACTTGTGGCAACTTAAAATGCAAGTACTTTTTTGATTGGAAAGTAAAAAAAATTCTCACGCTTTATATGAAAATTGTAAATTTCAAGTATATTAGTAGTTATTTCTAAATTTTTTATATTACATGTATACGTATGTATATACATGTAATTTTAAATCGGGCGTTACTTTTTGGGGGTGCATAAAGCGTATTTATAAATGCATATATCCGTAATACATGCACTACAAATTTCACAAACAACGCAAAAACTTTCTGTCTGTAAACAGGAAAATTATCAATTATCTATTTGATCTTTATTACGCTTAAAAACAAATGTGACAACTTATTTATTGACCAAGCATATCGATATATCGATATACAGCATCGTAAGAGTGCCATTGTAATATCTCGGATATGTATAGAGGGGTATAATACATGTACTGTACGTATATCGTTTAAAACAATCAGAGTTACTAAATTAAATGATTCAAATTTACCCCCACTTTTATTTAAAGTTATAGTAGAGAAATTTGTCTGAATGAATTCTAAATTCATATATACGTGAATTCTGCTTCCAGGTAAATTTCATATCCGTGTACAAAATATATAATTAACATCAATTACTATCAAAAATCAATAGCTATAGTACATGCATGTAGTTGGCGATAAATTCACTTTTAGATAGCACTTCCAATTATGTTTATCATGTTATAGAATGTATGTATTTGGTCATTATAGATGAGCAATTTACGTAATAAGTTTTTTATGAAATTATTAACGCGCAATTTTTATATGTTATTGAATTAATATATATAAAATATTAGAACTGATAGAAACATAATAGAATTTGTGTAAACTTACATAATACATGTAATTGTAATGTAATGTATCATGAATTTTAGAAAAATTTACAATTCATAAAATCGTTATGCAATAAGTAAATAATCACAAATATTAAAAAGATAAATGAATTTATTTCTCTTTAATAATTATCTTACGCCAAGTTAACATATAACGCTATGGCAAGATTCAAAATAAATAGCAACGCTTTAAAAATCTGGCACGTGTCTTATTGTTTGCTGCATTAGTTACTATTTCTGATGTTGTTGCAGAAGTCGCCACTAACCACTGAAGTTACCATATGCTTAGTTGAATGATAAATTATCCATGTTTAATATTGTGAGGAAATGTCCAGAAACAGGCACCATCCCGTTTTCTTAAGCCTAAAAGTGGTGTCCATTTACGGTATTATAAAAAGATATACAAAATTCTGAGTTGCGTAATAATGATAATGATATAAATAGACGTGGTAAAAATACGTAATTACATGTGAATACCAGTACGTGTATCGTTATTGGTATTCTGTATAACTAAGGCTACAAATTTATCGTTATGGAAATTTGTTAGTCTTTATTAACTTTCCTTTTTTATTTTCATTTGCATTTTTTATCGTTATCTTTTAAAGATTGATTTTTGTGATAACAAATAAGTTAGCTACATGTATAAAGTTTTGTTTTTATTAAATAAACTTCAATGGCTGTATAATTGCAACTAATGAAATCACAAAGAAAATTAAAATGCCGTTTAGCTAATGTAAATATTTTACGTATATATCAAATAATTCCAATCAATAATTATAAATTACAATAGATTCTATTAGCATTCATATACTAAATAATTATAAGCTCATTTATCTTACAATTCAAGGTTTATACCTGAGCATATTAAAAAGGAAGTGAAACAGAGTGATGAAAATTAATTTATATGTTTGCGAATTAAAACGCAATTTTAAGAAATTTTATATTGAACAAAAAAATTTTGTATTCCGATTTGAACTATGTTCTATAAGCATATGCATTTGTAAATAAATGTAAAATTTATATTACAAGCTTAGGAGATTTTCTATTTTCTTGTATAACAATGTGCATGATTGTAAAATATTTGTAAATTTTTTATAGAATGATAAAATGCTATGGTGCATAAATCTAAAGTCATCAAACGTTTGTATTTTACAAAATTTATAAACTTCTTTACAAAGAAGTAAATGCCAAATTTAATCCGTGAATATGATAGAATAGACTCTTTCTGAAAATATTCACGGATTAAATTTTGTATTTACTTCTTAGTAAAGTTGTTTATCCATTTTATAAAACACAAACGTTTGATGACTTTAGATGTTATGCACCATACGTAATTGCTCTAAACTTTTTCTGATTGATATAGTGCATAACACCTAAAGTCAGCAAACGTTTATATTTTATAAAATGGATAAACTTCTTTACTAAGTAGTAAATTCTAAATTTAATCCGTGAATATGATAGAATAGGTTCATTCTGAACATATTCACGGATTAATTTAAAGAAGTTTATACATTTTATAAAATACAAACATTTGATGACTTTAGATGTTATGCACCATAATTAAGCAAAGCCGAAACGGAGAATATTTTGTATTATAAGATTGACTATTTTACTTTTTATTTAAATCTATAGATTACTTATATTTATTTTTATTCTGTAACAAATATTGTATGTATGCTATGATTTCTAACTTATAAATATTCATTCATCTTAAATATTGATAGATCAACTTTCTTTATATATACATGTATTTGCATGTATAATTTGAAATCAAGCTATAGTGTAACTAAATTTATTAAGGGTTGTTACAAGATACATGTACAAGTTAATATAATAGACTCGTTTAGAAAATTTAAACTTTAGTTACTAATTAATGATCTTGAGGTTAAGTTTTAAGAAATTGCATTGTGAGTCTTAATTAATTTACTTTGCAAAAAATAAATAAATTTACTAAAAATTGAATTTGTATATGTACAAATAGTACAAACTATAAAAATTGAGCAATTTGATTAATGCTTGAACAAAAATTTTTTGATTGATAATATTATACACTTTATTTTTAAATAATTAAAATTTATTTTGATAATTAAATACAAAAAAATCCAGAGTTTTCATTAGAGATTAATCTGAAAGATATATATTATATAAAAATATTAACTAATTCCAAATTTTAATAGTTTTATACAAATTATTAGTTTTAGAGATAATTTTTTTCTTATAAGTTACTAATTAAATTTGTTTATAGCAATATTTTAATATGATTTACTTATTAAAAATAAATAATAAAATATTTTGAGAAATCAAAATCACAGAAAAATTTCTAATTTTTAAAATAATTTTATTTTATAGACTATTAATAAAATTTATTATTAATAATATTTTAAAAAAGTTATTTATTATAATTAAAATAATTTAATTTATCTATAACTAGTAATTTTCAAAATATTAAAATCATTTTGAATAGAGCTCTAAAAAGCTTAACTTATTAACTCACATACAACTTGCATACATATAATTTAATTAATAGAATTTAAATCTATATTATTAAACTATATATAAAATTTAAGCTTGAAAGACTCAAAAATCAGCTTGTTAGAAACTCTAATTTTTGAATTGATTAATATTTCTAATATTATATATATAAATTAATTCTAAAAGTAATTAATTTATACAATATTTAATTGTTTAAAATATAGAATTATATTATATTAAAATAAATGATGATATATAATAACAAACTTTTGAATTATAAAATTAAGATTTATAAAAATAATAATTGTGACTTCAGTATTTGGAATAAATATTTATTAATTATACAAATTTATTTATTAATATTAAAATTAAAATTTTATTTTTTAGCCAATTTAATATAACAATTAGATTATATTATTGTAATAGAATTTATCCAAAATTGTTGTTTATTATTTCAGAAAAGATATTAAAACAAACTTTTAAATTATTACTAAAAATAAAGAAATATAAATATATACTATAATAAAATATTATAATATATATTTATAATACATATATAACAATTTTGTTTTAGAAATATTTCATCAAAAGATTATTCTTTTGTAGTAATTGCTTAACAACACAACTTAAAAATGGAATCCAAGAAATATTTGAAGTACTTTATTTTTGTTGGAATTTATTTTGATGTAAATTATTTCTAATAACAACTTATCATACATATCTGAAAATAACACAAATATAGAATGTGAAATAGATATTTATCAAAATTGCAATTATAAAAAGAAGTGTGAAGTTGATATTTGTGAAGAAATAGAATATATATATGTTGAAGATGATACAAGTTCTGACAACTTCAAATAATGATCAAGTTACACCAAATAATATTGTGAATGTGTTTTGTCAATCTAAAAATACAAGAATTTGTACAAAAAGCTATTATGAATAACCAATATATAATGTATTTAAACCTAAATTTTTGAAAACAAAAAATTTTTTGCATTATTTATCTTAACAGATTTGGTGATTCATGATTTGATGCAACAAGATATTGTTCTTTATAAATTAACTGCAATGACTTCAACAATGGCATATAGTGTTTATGTTGTTGAAATCACTCTTAATGCAATAGAGAAAGCAAAAACTCAAATTGGTTATATTTTTTAAAAGATTAAATAATGATTGATAATAAAATTATATATAATATTGATATAATAGGATATTTTAATTAAAGCTCTGTTCAGGTCAGGTCAGGTCAAGTCGTTTTGAGATCAACACAAACTGATAATTTCAGGTCAGGTCGGGTTTGATCTGAAAATTATAAAATAGTTTTTTATTAATAACTTTATTTTTACTAAGACACTCGTATTTTATGTCTTAAGTAGAGTTGTTCAGAATGTAATTGTATATATGTCCACAAATTTTCGTTTAATTCTAATTAATATTAAACGACAAATAATGATTTTTAGACTACCCTGAAATATTTCGGGTCTGGTTGATCCCAACCTGATCCGACCTGAAATGCGCGTTCTGGATTGGACCCGACCCGGTTGGAGCACTAATTTAAATATTTGACATAATTTTGATAAAAGATCAAAAATCAAATCTTTGAAAACTATCAACAATGTTAGAATATCAATACAAGATGATGACTAATGCTAATATTTTATGTTTGGATTTATAAGCACATATAAAGATTGTACTTTTAATATTCAATTTTATCGTAGCATTTTTATAAAAAAAAAATCGGCCATCAGAAGCAATTGAAGTGAACTTCAATTTTTGAATTTGGTTCTCGAAAATGTAATGTAGTATTTATTGATATAAAAAGATAGAATAAGGTCTTCCTAAACTATTTATCGTGTTTTTATGTCTCCGCAGAAAGTTTTTGATGAAGTTATCTTTGACACTTCCCAACGACTAGTAAAATCTATGATTTACATAAAAGTTGATGACGCAATGCACCCTTTATGATCTCGAAAAGAATGTCGATCGTGCCAAATACGTACATGTAATTCTAACGACGACAAAGAATCGCTATTGAATAATCATAACGACAACGATAACGATAAATTCACAATAACAACGACAAAGAAATAAATAAATAAATTTATTAAGAATTGCTATATACATGTATGCAACCAAAATTTTTATTATTTTGAATCTTTTTAGTCATCAGAAACATTAGAAAATGAACTTCGATTTTTGAACCCAATTTTTAAGAATGTAACATAGTATTTATTAACATAAAAAAGTAAAATATGCCCATTCTAAACTCTTTATCGTGTTTTTATGACTTCGCAGAAAGTTTCGAGGAAGTTGTCTTTGATGCATATATCGAATATTAAAACCAGGTGATTTGTTCATTATCTACATAAAGTTAATGACGTATTACACTCCACCCTTAACGTTAACGTTAATCGTCATGGATGATGTACATATCGATATCGATACGTATACGAATATCACAAAATCTTTCATCAAGTATTATCGTTATTAATAAATTAGTGACTCTTGTTCCCAAATCGCAGATACTAGACTTTTTATCTTATTTATTATCAAAATGGCAATAGTTCAACACTTTTTACACACCCTATTGTTATTATGCAATAAAACAATAAAAATGAAGGCAAAATATTCGATTGGTATTTGGAATTAACAGAAAATGGAAATGCTTGAAAGCAATACACTTTTTATTTTATTATTGAAACAAAAAGTAATAAAAAAAAATCTGATATGTCTGACTTATAATTAAGAAACATTTACTATATATTTCAATAAATAAATATTTGTAAATGGTGAATTAATCAATAGAAAAATATTAGTTTGTAAAGGATGAATTAAATTAAAAGAAAAATATTAGTTTGTAAATAATAAATTAAAATATTAGCTTATTAATGATGAATTAAATCAATAGAAAATCAGAAAGAAGATTTCACAAAAAACTTGTATACAAGTAATAATAATAATTATTATTTTATCTTTTCAAGAATAGTGAACTTTATAATAATTCTTTATGTATAAAAGAATTATTAAAATTCTCGCCAGGAACTGCATACAAGATTTAAAAATAAAACAGAAAAAAAACAAAATGGACAATTGCAAGTATTGTGCAATAGATTGAATTGATAACGGTGATTTTTATAACCTTGCAATCATTTTTAGTTTTACCAAACTGCAGAAAAAAATTTTTCTTATAAACCAATAACTTCGGTTTATCACAATACATTCTACATGTAGGTTATAGTGATTGTATGCAAAATTACAAATGTTATTTATAACCTTGTCATAACGGATAAACTAAATTATAATATGTATTACGAATTTCTTATCGTCATAATCAACAAATATGTATTGGTATGCCACTTATAATATACAGACAAACCTCCCTAAATGCACCCTCTATAAATGCACACCCTCTCTAAATGCACAGTATGGCTGGGTCCGAGCTCATAAGAGCTCTTATATTTTGCCCTCTATAAATGCACACCCTCTCTAAATGCACGTTTTACTATGGTCCCAAGGGGGTAGGTTTGTCTATAACTAAAATACATGTAGAATAATAACGAAGTGTGACATTTAATTTTATGTATCTTGTTTTTTTATTTTTTCTCGCCTTTAACCAAAAGATCCTGGCATTACAAAGTTCTAAACCAATACACACGTATTTACAAAAATCGAACGTGTTACCATTACGTATAGGAAATAAACAAATTTTAACTGGTTATGTATCTTATTTAGAATAAGGCAAAAGATAAATTTAGGTGTTTAAAATGATTGGCTAATGATTGTGGATCCAATTACATGTACGTATTTCGTCCCCATGATAGTAAACCAATCGCAAAAATTCGCGCTTTTGTTTTGATTTTCCAAACAAATTTCTCGACGGAAAATTACATGTAACACCTTTGCGAATCCATGAGAATAAAAAAATTAACAGCCGCCCAACGTGGCACAGTCTTGGATACCTAAATTGATATACCCGGACTAGAACCATCAACTCAAAGTCTCATTCTAAACACCTGCACCTGCTTGGGACCCCTGAGCGGAATCAGCTCAAACAGTAATTGAGGTTTAGATAGTCCAAATAATTCCAATTATATAGAATCATTATACGTATTAAGGATTAGATCAAAAAGTGCGCTTTCACCATATCGGTATACTACTCTTAATTGATAATTCTTTAACTTTATTCTTAATAACCAATGATGCTGAAAAATTTTTTCAAGTATACTAATAATTATCATTGTAAATTAGATATTTAGGCGTTTTCTTGTCTAAATTCGTGTGTGAGGTTCAAATAAATCAAATTTCTGTTAACGTTAATATGTATAAATTCGCCATCTTTTTTATGTCGATTATGATACCATTATTATTCCAACGAATCAAGAGATTTTTGCAACTTTTCAAGTTACACTTAGTTGAAGCATTAGTAAACTTGGGAAATATAAGCAGAAGATTCAAAAGTTATAAACTCATTTCAAAAACGAATTGCTAGTCAAATTATGCAACAAAAGGTTCAGTAAAATTTTTACATAGTAATAGCAAATACGTATCGAGTCCCCTTAATATATCGATATCGCTTCCAGTCGTTATACAACCATGCACCAAGCAAATAAACCCTAAACCCTTATCGTTATTTCTTGGCATTACCGTTACACTACATAATCGAGAAAACAAGTTTTTTTATTGTTTAAGCCAAAGCTTAATAATCGTACATTGAATGTAAACTACGATGATGATTGTTTGCTTGCATTGCACATCGATACAGTTCGTACGTACTACGTACATGTCAACCCGAAAATCATATTTGTTCGTTTTACGTGCGTATTCATTTCATGGATGTCATTTGTCACTCGAAATTTACAATGAAGTAGATGCGTCATTTAATGTCATTTCACGTGCTAACGGGGGGGGGGGGTGTATTCGATTGATGATTTGTTAAGTTTCCTTAGTTTATCGAATGACCGAGAGACTGATTCACAAAAACAATGATAATATGTGGAACCTTTGAAACAATCGACTGATTGTTTTTCTTGCACAAACACAAAAATACGTTCGTAGTCGGTCATTTGTACAGCATACCATACATGGAACATCAAAAAATCTTATAAATTAGAAGAGATTTTGCTCCAAATAAAGTGTCATATAAAGAGAAATTCGTTTATCTCAAATTACTGTTTTCCGATTGCTAGAGTTTAAAACACATCGAACAAAATAGAAAATGATTGACCTCAGCGACACAGAATCGTCTCCACCAGATTATTCTTCGTTGTTTGATAGTAACAATGATTTACCAGCCATAATTAATAACAATAACAACAATACCATTTCACCCACATCGCCACACAATCAAAAAATTTTTTTCACTTATCCAGCCACCCAAACATCGTTTCAAAAAGGTTTCCTAGGAGTGGAAGATGCTTCTATTTGTGGCACACTTCATCTTCGATACTCGCGTATACGACCTTTACTCGCCACGAAAATAATGCTTACGTTTACCGGCAAATTGAAAATAGTACTGGAAAAAAGTTACGTAGGTTTCAGAACAAATGATTTGATGAATAAGAAAATTTTTAAAGATCAAACTATATATTCCAAAACACTTGATCTTTGGTCGTCGGCAACTTATGAATCAGAATTTCAAGCAATCAATTGTCTGGATTTACCGTTTCAATTTGACTTGCCTGCCTATTTAGAATCAACAATCTCATTAAAACCTGAAAATCAGTGCTACGCTCGTATTTATTATACGCTGAAAGCGACAGTTCATCAAAAACCAGATATTCGGAGACTACTAAGAAAAACAAAGATTTTAAAAGTCAATTGCTTACTTGATCGATACTCTACACCCTGGCAAATCAATAATTCTGAATTCTGCCTCTCATCATATGATGACGAGAAAGCAATCTCACGTGGTATAGGCTACAACCTCTCACTAGCTCAACGAACAATATTACTAAATAGTAGATTAAACGTGACATTAAATCTGATTTTTCACGACGCGCGAATAAATCTTAAGAAAATTTTATGCATTTTGGAGGAAAGATATGTTATTTGCGTCGACGATATTACGAGCAAAATAAAGAAAAGCGAGGTGACGCGTGCATGTGTCAAAGGTGTTGCGATTGCTATTTTACCAGGACCTAAGAATGAATCTTGTGTACAAATTTCTGTGGAGGTTCCCGGAAAAGATAAGGTTTTTTGTTCGATGAAGTCATCCGGTGTCCGAATTAGGCACTTTCTGAAGTTGCTTTTGAGGTTGGGAAATGCGGAAGATATTGAGCTAGAAACTGAAATTACGATTATAAATCCTGCTACTAATATTAATGCGATGATTGAAGAACAACTGCCGGGTTATTAAATCATTTACACATTCTTTTTATTAATTTAATATGGATAATTTTACATCGATAGTGTTCTCTAATATAACATTTAATCTAATATAATAATAACGATAACATAAAATCTACATGTACAGTACAAATTTAATTTAATAAAATTAATAATGATACGTAATATGTTTGGAAGTTGATCATCTATGAAAATGAGAAAAAAGTTTTAGTCAAGAGTGAACTGTTAAAGAACAACTCATAATTGGCTAAATGGAATCAGAGCGGAAAAAGATATGACAAAAGCTTTTAAAACCAGTAGAAAAACTTAATAAAAACAAAATAATGTGATTATTGTTATAACTATCAAATAAAACAAGAAAGAAATATATATAATTCAGCAAAGAGTGATTAAGCTTTAATAATGTAATTTTGTTACCAACATCAAATAGAAACTCAATAGATAAGCAAATGGTATTTGAATGAACTTTTAAATCAGCAGAAAGTAGATTAAGAATATCTTGAATATTTTTATAAAAATGATATTAGAACTCCAAAACAACATATTACAAATCCATAGCTGAAAATAAAAAAATATCAGTTCATTAATACAGTCAAACCTCGATATAACAAAACCTGAATATAACGAAATCCTTGATAAAACGAAAGAAAAAAACCTTTTGTTTTAAAATGATCTCTATATAGCGTAGTTTCATAAGAAAACTCGAAATAATGAAAAAAAATTTCCAGCTCAAGAGGTTCGTTATATCAAGGTTTGACTAATAACATAATTTTCTAATTAATATTGGAAAAATAGACCAAAAAACAAGTGATAATTTAAAAAAAAATATATAATAAATTTATTAGATAATATAATTTTTACTTTTATTTTTAATTAATTTTAATTTTAATACTTCTTTGATAGAGCTCAAAATTATGTGAAAAAATATATTATTATTGGACTATATTTACATATATTTTTATTGGATATTTACTTATTATTTATTTATATATTATGTATTAATAAAGATATTGAACTTTTGATATTTTGAACTAGTGATCATTAAAATTTTGGTCATTTGAAATTTTGATCATTTGAGCTATTGATCTTTAAAGATATTGAATTTTTGATATTTTGAACAATTGATATTTGGAATTATTATAATAATAATTTTATATATAAATAACACTTTGCTTTATAACAAATTAGCAAGTTAGTTAAGTTAGAAATTAGAAAAGTAACAAGTTCAATTATCAATTATCTTATAATTCCCCTTTGATTTTTAATATAATTTTGATAATAATCTAGTAATATTGTTATTCTTATATTATATATTATGTACAGAGCAATAACTAAGGTAGCAATAGTAAAAAGTATAATAATAAAGAAATTTTATTAATAAAATTATTTTAAACTTATCATAATTATAATATATAATTTTCTTAATAATAAACTTAACTCTTCTTATAACTATAAGAAGAGATCTATTTAAAGATCTTCTGTTATAGAAATACTGTTAAAAGAACTGGAATAATAATATTTATATTTATAATTATTCCTTAAACTATCAGATTTAGTAGGTAAATTTGCTTGCTAAAATTCTATAAATTTATATCTTACCAAAAATTAAAATATATTAAAAAAAGTTTGTTTAATTATATATTATAGTTGTCTATAAGTTAAAAATAAGCAATTTTAAAAAATTTTTATTATTAATCTTAAATTTTAAAAATATTTTATAATAAAATTACAGAATTGATTAAAAAATCAATTAAATATTTTGAGCAATTGTATGATGCATAAAATCTAAAGTCATCAAACATTTGTATTTTATAAAATATATAAACTTCTTTACTAAGAAGTAAATACAAAATTTAATCCATGAATATAATAGAATAGGTCTTTTCTGAGCATATTCATGGATTAAATTTTGTATTTACTTCTTAGTAAAAAAGTTATACATTTTACAAATACAAACATTTGATGAATTTAGATATTATGCACCATAAAACAAAATTACAAATTTTATATTATATTGATTAAAATATGCTATATTTTTATTTTAGCTTAGAAAAAGAGGGGGGTTTAGCTTATAAAATTAGGAATAAATGTACAAAAGTAAGCTAAAAAAAATTTTAGCAGGCAAATTTGCCCGCTGGACGATTTAAGGGATAATATAAATAGTTTATGAGATATTGCAAGTTTAAATTTTCGATTCGTGTGATCCCATAATTTTGAGAGCCACAGTATATTTGCGAAGATCGCACAATCCATCACTATCGAGTATTCATTTGTTGTTTGATTTTTAGTTATTCTATAATATCTAAGTGCACTTTAAGAGTTTGAATCTAATTTTGAAAAAGTTAATTATCTTGAAAAACAGAAAAGCAAGCAATATACTACATGTACCTCGTTTATAAATTCGCAGAACTTGTAAATTTATTTTTTGTATGACCTCAATATCCAGTTAACAATGGATCGTCCAACCAGTCAGGATGCTTTATAAATTGATCCAAAACCTCCTTTAGCAAGATATTCAACATTGGTAAATCTTTCAGAAGGGATTCATTTAAATATCTGTCAATATTCGCTTAGACAGTCGATAACTTTATATCCGCTAGAGAAATCAGCTTTATAAATTCATTTGTGAGATTCAAAACATCCATTGCAGCAATTCTGAACTCACATCCACTATAATCATGAGTATTGTGAACTGAACACTTTAGAAAATGGTGTTGGTGATTGAAACTTGAAATGACGATATAATAAACGAAGTGCTATAGCTTTGTGCTAACAGTGTGCATTGATGCATTTTATGTGTTTAAAAATCTGTATCGGTATTTTTTAACACAAAGACGATAACAATAATGATAAACAAATCGATTTAGATTAAACAGTTTTCTAAATTTGTTCTAGATTATCAAAACATGTCTATTTTCCTTAAATAGTGTACGATAACGATAGCGATAGGTATTTTTCTTTAAAATGGTACAGTCGAAAACGAAAATTCTGCCAAATAAAAAATGAATGTTCTTTTATCATTTTCTCGACGATCGCGCAAAAATTTAAAACGCATTTATGCCCATGCAACATTAAGTGTAAGGTATAAAACCATCGCATCCAATGTATCTGTTTGGTCGGATGAACGGACTAAAAAACTGATAAATGCAATAAATAAGCATGGAAAAAATTGGCAATTGATTCAAAAAAAATATTTCCCTGATAGAACTGACGATTATCTCTATCGAAAATGGATTAACGAAACACGCAATGAGAGATTGGCAGTCACGAAAAAAAGATGGACAAAAGAAGAGTTGGATTTGCTTAAGGATGGCGTAGAAAGATTTGGAAATAGGTGGAGCTTAATTCAAAAGACCTATTTTCCTAATAAAAACCCAGGATCTCTCTGTAAAAAATGGCGTCAGTATGATCCAGATAATTCATTAATGTTTGCTAGTGAAAAATGGACGAAAGAAGAGTTGGATTTGCTTAAGGATGGAGTAAAAAGATTTGGAAATAGGTGGAGCTTGATTCAAAAGACCTTTCTTCCTAATAAAAAACCAGGATCTCTCTGTAGAAAATGGCGTCAGTGTGATCCAAATGATTTATTAATGCTTGCTAGTGAAAAATGGACGAAAGAAGAATTAAATTTCATTAAGGGTGGGGCAGAACAATCCGGACGAAGTTGGAATTTGGCTCTAAATCCTTACTTTTCGACAGTGACGTCTTTGGCCCTTTTCAAAAAGTGGTCTAAATTGATAACAAATAACAGTTTGAGACGGATAGAAGTTAATCTGCATCAAATTGGAGTAAATAGATTCGTACGGAGATGGAGCCAGCTACAAAAAACTTATTTTCCTGAGAAAACTTTGAAAGCTCTCTATGTCAAGTTTTACCAATCAACGCGCATTAACAAAATAATTTTAGAAAAGATTCATGCACAAAGATGGACAGAAGAAGTAAATATGCTAAAAAAAGGTGCGGAAGAACTCGGACGAAATTTGAATTCGATTCAAACATACCTTTCCAAAAAGAAATATTTAGCCCATTACCAAAAGTGGCTTAGAATTAAACAAAAAAAAGTTCCGAATTCAATAGCGAGTAAAGAATTAAGTCAAAGATTTTTGGCAAAGATAGAGCATTTAAAGGCTTCAAGTGGTTAGTTATAAAACACATTAAATAATAATTGTTTGAATGAGAAAAAATTTATTAAGAAGGTAAAAAATATCTAAATTTAGAAAGAGCATTAAAAATCCAGCATGGAGTAATTAACAAATCATCAAATGGGAGATCATGGAAAGTAAGTTTTTGTCAACATATATACATGCATCGGATAAATTTGGTAAAGCTAATTTCTCCATCTTTATATATAGTCGTTTGCGTTTATAAAGGAGAAATTCAATCAATTTATTAAGAGTTATATATAGATTATGCAAGGATTGGGTTAGAATTTCATTGATTTTATTGTTTGTAGTTGTATTCGTTTTTGTGTGATTTTTCTAAAAACTTTATAACTCCCAAATCAAAACAGGAATTGATATTTTTACGCTTGTCTAGAAAAATATAACTCGTATTTCTTTTAATGGCAGCAAAATCTCATAAAAATTTTATCGCGTTGAATCAGAAATGAGTATAGTATAGGTGAAAACCAGATTGTTTTACATAATCTCTGAAAAAATTTATATCTGTATATGAACAACATTATTAAAAAGCACACTAATATAGTCAACATTGGGTTATAGCGAACCAACTATTCTAGCACTTTGAGTTTGTTATATACACCGAAACCAGACAAAGTGAATAAACGGTAAAGAATTTTTAAATGTTTGAACTCTGTGGCCTGGTAATACTTATATGAGTAACAGCGATTCTTAATTCAAATATCCATACCCAAATACCTCTCCAACTTTTCCGCAAGAAAGAAACTATCAAGAAATTGCCAGTTGTCTTGCGAAGAAATTGTGTCGAAACAGACAAGGAAAATGTCACAGCAGTCCGATATCTGAGAAGATAAACTTGAAAAGCAATTTGGTCTTGTATACGAGATAATTCGTGACAGTAGCTATTGCTTTAAAACTTCTATATCCAGTGAAAGTCGATATAACGTACGATCGATATAAGGGATTCGGTCTATGGCGGACTATTTTTCGGAACCAGCTATAAATAGCTTTCTGCTATGGTGAATCCGTCGGTTTACCGTAGAAACGGAAGAGTCCATTATATCGACTCTCACTGTGTACTGTTTACGCCACGTTGACTAACTGGTGCTTTTCCTTTTTGTACTCTCTCCCTCCCGGTGCTCGCAGCAAGTATACAAACCCATCTACTTATTCAAAGATCCTCTTTCGATGCTGTTGTCAATGACCCAAATGACCAATGATCGGTCATTTCAAAGTTACATGACCCATGACCTGGATCATTTAACTTTTATACAATAAAATTTTCAGAAACTGAGATCATACTTCGTGACGTAGTTATAAAATATAAATAAAAATGACTCGCTGAATTTTATTGGTTAAAAGTGTAATCACACTTGGCGTATTTCGATATTATTTGCAAAATGATCATTTACCATTACTGGTTAAGAAAGAGGCTGCTGTATTTACGTGCAAAATTTACATTGAAGTTGTATTTTATTATCTAATTTTTATAACCAAGATAAAATTAAGGATTGAAGCTATTGGATAATGTTATCAGCCATCAAATTTGTGATGCAAGCAATTATTGTTATTAAATTTGAGCTTGATAGCTATATACTGCGAAGAACTTTATCCAAAAAGAGGTTGGTAAACCTCAAGAACAATCCGGATTTCCTAGTAGTTTTCTAGTAAATTTCTACAGATAATTCATTGAATTTGGGTGAAAACCATATAAACCACAACAAAACCAATAGAAAATCCGGAATTCCTCTAACCATTTTTCTGCCTGTTATGATCACAATAAACTAAAAAAGATTTTTAGAATTAGCATAATGAAATTTATTAATCAGCTCAATAAAAGTATTACGATTTTGGAGTTTAGAATTTTCTAATTCTATATTTAAAGAGTTCTATTAGATATAATATACAAAGCTAGAATCAATAAACAGAATAATTCTCTTATATAGCGAAATTCAATTATTGCGAACTTTTGCCAAATCTCCGATTATATAACGATAATATTCATTATCACGAGCTTTTTGAGCATGGGCCAATCCATTGCATTACCAGTTTGACTGTATTGAAGTATAACAACCTGGTTTGTGATCATCAACGAGCAAAATCAATATTTTTATCACACTCCTCGGGACATCAGTGATGGTAAAACTGTAAATAATTTGCTTATATTTTATAGGACACTGTAAAAAGAATAAAATTAAATAAAATATAATTAAATTAGAATTACTAAAACTTTTTGGATATTATAATTAGATTGGTGATATAAAAAAACTTTTTAAGTTTAATAAAGTTTAATATAATAGAGTAATTTAATATAATATAATAATAAATCATAAACGAAATTAAAAAAAATTGTATCTTATAAAAAAATATAAGAAAAATATTTATATTAAAAAGTTTCATTTATATATAAAGCAATTTTAGACTTGTATAAATACAGCAAACTTTTTTATTGAAAAAGTACTAATCACATTTTTAACAAGTTGATAAAAATTTTAATAATTAGACTTTATTTAAATTGACTTTCAATTACTATAGTAATTAGAATTGTATTAATTTAATATAACATATTAAGAGACTTTAAAATTTGCAAATATTTATTATTTACCATAAGAATATTTTTTTATAAAAATTGACATAAAGTTTTTAATAATAAAAATTATACAGTAATAATAAATATTATATCAAAACAAAATTATTTACTTAAATTGCCAAATATAAAATTATGAATTCCTTAAATTATGGATACTTATTACATATTTTATTTACAAAATTAATGATAATCAAGTTATAATAAATTACTTATAAATATCAAAATTATTTAAAATTCAAGGCACTACTCACCATCAAGGCACTACTCACCATCAAGGTGTTCACCATAACCACCAAGGCGTTCACCATCACCAAAAATATTTCATTAAAAATTTCAATTTAATATTAAAATTATTTAAAATACAAAATATTTTATCAAAAATTTAATTTAATTTAATTTATACTACAAAATATTTCATTAAAAATTTAATTTATTATTAATTAAGTATTAGTATAATTATTATAACATATATTTGCTATATCTTATTTAGAATTATTCAAATATTTTATAAATCTATATAACATTTAATAAATAATTTTATAAAATAAAATAAAAATTTTGTAATATATTAAATAAATATAATTTAAATATACAAAATAAATATTGTTCATAATAATTTTCTAATACTAAATATATATAATAATATTATTATAATTTTTTTAAATATATTAATCAATATAATTACATGAAATAAATATAAAAATTATAACTTAAATTCTAATATACCAATTAGTATATATAACTAAAAATATTTAGATTTTAATTTGATACAAAACAAATTATAAATTTTATACTAAAAAATTAGATAAAATATAGCCTGTTTTAAGTAAAATTGAAAATTATATTTTTAAAATAAAAAATTTCTTATTAATTAAATTTGCTAAAATCTATTTTTCGAATATATATTTTTTGAAGATTTTTAATTATTAACTTGTTAATTTAATTAAGGCATACTTTGCTAAAATATTTAAATAAACTTAATAAATTATTTATTATATAGTACTGTTTTCTTTTTGATAATAGATAATTATATTATTCTAAAAGTGTCATAAATTTTGAATAAATATAATATTCACAATAATAAAATTTGTATGTATATTTTTTTACTTCTTAAATAAATTAATTGAGAAAATTATAAATTATATTATATTATTATAAATATGCATTTTCACTTTATATTAAAAATATTCTTATAATTATGATCTGATATAAGTATATATTTGATATATTTTTTTTATAAACATTTATAATAACATTTTTATAATTTTATAATTAAATAAATATTTTCATAATTAAAGTCACACCTATGCCCACTACAACGCAAATGTTCATGAGAATTTTTTATCTATAACGATAAAAATGTGTACAGTATTTTTCGTGAACAGACAGATGAAAAATGTAGTTTGCAAACAATAAACACAGATGACTTCTTATTTTTTTGTGGACAGACAGTTGAGAAAGATAACTAGCAACAATACACCGAATGAATTTATTTTTTCGGAAACTTTATACACATCGCACAAGAGCAAACAGGTTCACATAACAAATGAAACAGATACGACAAATTTTCTTAAGAAGACTTCCTCATTCCGATTCATGTAACAACAATAATTTAATTTTTAATCCATTATCATTTAATATCATCCCGAGAATTCCGAGTGCAGGATTTCTTAAGTTCACAATTGGAAAGATAACACCATTTAAATTGTGAGATCGAAATCTACTCTAATCCGGTAACATTATGCTCGAATGAAATTGATTATTACATCATATAAATATTATAACGTAATAGATACAAGACAATTGTTTAAAATTGTATAATAAAAAAAGAAACTGCAGACTTTTAGAAGTTACGAAATATGACTTGGTGCATAAAGTCGATAAATATATATCAGATGAACGTGTAATATCAAAATTCTCTGATGGTAAAGCCCTGCTAAAAAATCATATTAAATCATATTTAACGTAGCCTGTGTTTTTGTAAATCATATCGTTTTTCGAGTCCATCTGACACAAAAACAATGTCTAGGCACGAACACTAAGCTTGTCTTTTTACTTATTTAAGATTTATTGAACATGACATTGGAAAATAAAATATCGCATGCTGTATTATATTTCAAATATAATCAATCTCTGTAATTATAGCAACATACGTATGACTCAATGCATAACGATAATATAACAACACGAAATAGTAAATGCGCAGCAACATAAATCAAATTGAATTTCAAGCTTGACGATTGTGATTGTTAAAATGTGAATTGGTGATGGATCTATTGGTTGGTGTATCAAATTAGGGTGTCCAGTTTACTACATTTGCAGAATTTGCAGAAATCTACTGCAAATTCTGCTGCAATTTGCAGATTTTGCAGAATCCATATGGTTTATAATATGATTTGTGTACATAATTTGC